TTATAATATAGCCAAAATGTTTCCACAGGTAACGTACAAGGAGCACAGGCCATCAGTCACTCATCGGGTCAATGTTCTGGCGAGCTTTCATTTGCGCAATTTCATAGAGGGGCTGTGCAAAATTATAGAAACCGTTTTGTTCATAAGAAAGTGCGGCATTGGTCTCCTCATACAAGGACCGTCGGCGCCAAAGTCCATAGAAGTAATCATCCTCACAAAGATCGGCATAGAGCTCTGCCAGTGCGTCCTGATTAGAGTCACGAATAGCGTCATCATCCTCGCGACCTTGTTCGACTGCGTGTTGAAGAATTTCAAGTCCCTCGTACCATGCGTGGTATATCTTCACCAAGTATTTGAGAACATGAGGTGGGATCGCGATAGAGGGAACGCAGCTTTGTATGCCACCGAGTAAGCTCTGCATGACGTTTGGACGGGGTAGATCATGCCTCCAGTCCTTTGTAAGTACGTGTACGAGACTTGCGGTGATATCGGCTTGTTCTTTACGAGAAAGGCCTTGCCATACTTGTGGGAATGTAGTGATGAAGGTTTGGTGCATCGCGAGGCTACTATAGAAGAGCAAGTGGCGCATTGGTTGTAACATGTCTTTTACTCGGAGTTCGGCAGTCGACAATGTGGATAAGGAGTTGGTGGTTGGGGTAAGAATGGCCTCTCCATTTGCCGCTCCAAAGATCATGTCGAGGATAACATATGCCCAATTGAACTCTCCCATGGATTCCCAACTTTGGCCTCCAATGAGATACGCTAGGCGAGGTCCAATTGCCTTCGGGACATGCTCACTAAACAGATCCAAAAATCGAGTACGTAAAGCCATGTCGTCTAGCCTACAACTGAAGACCTTGTTCTGCTCAGAGGACTGGTCCGATGTTACAATCAGGTTGAGTTTCTTTGCACGCGCTTTCGAAAATGTAAGTACCCTACCACCTATATTGATCGTCATACTCAGAGTTTTTTCAGCCCGAAACCTCCGACAACGCAATGATGTCTTTGATGAACAATGTCAAAGTCCTCAATGTCATCGCTGCCGAAAAGCCCAAAGCCTGGTACATGGCTAATGCCGCCGAACTGTTCATGTTTTCCAAGAAGGCAATGGTGGCACCCAGTGATGGGGTCGTAGAAGCATTTGCACCCGTTTATG